TATAAAAGGTTCAACACTAGGATACCAGGGACATTCTGTTTCATGCTAGACGCAATCGCCATTGGCCACGATTGCATCTCGATTGCATCGTGCCCCTGAGTGTTGACTTCACATTTCACTTTTATATTTATATTTACACACGCTCTATCTCTGATATTGAGCACTTTATCCCATAAATATAGCACACCTTAAGACTATATTTCTTCATATATATATACATATATAGTCGGCTCTCTCGTCGATTTCGACGTATGAGGGTCAAGCAGATAAGTTCCCAGGAAACCGACAGCCCGACAACGACACATGAGATTTTATTATCGTGGTGAAGGCTTCGTGCAGGACCATCCACACTTTTTGAAGGGACGAATACAGAGACCTGGTGCCACAAGTGCCACTAAGTGCCACAAGTTTCCCAAACGACCCTCCGCAGGTTTTGAATTCAGAGTTGTCCTTCTCTTAGAGCAGTTGGCATCCAAGGCTATAGAACCCAGTCTGTCCTGCTATTTTACCCATAGCTGGAGGGAGAAGAAGAGGATTCATACCTTTCCCAAGGGTATTAGCACGTAAGTGAATGTAATGGATTCGACTGGAATTCGAACTCGGCTCTCCGTTTCCTCAATCTGAGCCGCTATCCATTACTCCACCGTGCCTCCACTCAATATATTTTTGTGTTTGTGTGTGTGTGTATGTGTGTTTGTGTGTGTCGTGTGAAATTTCATTATGAAACTCACAGGTTTTTCGTCATATCGACAATATCTATATTAGTGTTCTTATTGTTTGTTATCTCTTGGGGTTTTTTTTCAAGTAGATAAAAATCGCCATATGTCGTAAGAAACGAATAACCTCAAAACAGAACTTATGCTATAAAGCAATTGATAAAGTTTGAAATAAAACATCAGAACAATCAAAATGGATTTAAAAAAAAAAAACTTGGATAGGATAAAGACATAAGAAAAAGTATGAATTTTAAGGGAGAAAATATGAGAATTTGAAATGAATCTGATGTCGCAATTATAGAGAAAAACAAGCAACATATTAAGACGATTGATTTAAGACTTGAAAGTAACTAAACTACCATCTGGCTGTAAAGATCACTAAGAGAAATGCGTATGTTGGATAAGAAATACATAAGAACAATTTCTCGGCATTTTTTTTTTTTTTTTGGTAGTGCATGTCAAGTGATATTGCACGAACTTGATGGCGGGGCTAGAAGTTGATTCCTTCAAGAATCAACATGTCTCAGAGGGGAGGGACACAAAGAACAGATGCAGGCAGGCTCAACGAAAAATGTGCAGAAATAGAAAGACTGAGTATCCCAGATACGCAGATATACATTAAAAAAAGAAGAGAACTAACAAGACAAAAGACCTGTTCATCAAAAAACTGCATGGAATCGATGGAAAGAACAATAATGTTAGAGAAAGGAAAAATCCTTTAGAGATGGAACAAATATATCGAAGAACTCGTCGACGACGAAAGAGTACCACCAGCAATGCACACAAATAACGATGGACTAGACATATTAAAAACCAAAGTGGAAGCTGCACTCATGAAATTGAAAAGAAACAAAGCGGCAGTGCCAGACGGAATTGTAATAGAGATGACGATGGCCTTAAATGAGTTCGGCATAGACAAGACAAATGAAATCTACAACAGTGGTAATATAACGACAGATCAGGTGCAAAAGAATGTGGACTTCATTAGACAATAAGACTAATGAGCCACATAATAAAACTCATCATCCGAATTCTAATGAATAGAGCGCACAGCAGAATCAAACCGGAGATAGGATAAAAACAGCGCGGGTTCGCGAAAGACACTGGAACAAGGAACACAATATTTATGCCCAGAATATTACCAGAAAAAGCAATACACATGCAGAAAGACGTGTACCAGTGCTTTAAGGATTACGCAAAGGCGTTTGATAGACTTCGCTACAAAGATCTGTTAGATCTACTCAGCAACCGTGAGATGATTGAGGAGGATATTAAGAGAATAATCAAGAATATATACTGGCAAGACACCGCCTATTTACATTATTCGGACTATTTTCCTCATCTTTGTTGCCATATTTATTACAACGTTTCGGCCGTTGTACGCTCCGGCCTTCTTCAGGTGGTTGAAATGTCGAACTGAACCTTTTATTTCACTCACAGTTGTAGACTATTCTAGTTCCACGTGTCGTGTATAATGGATGTCAGTTATCAGTTATCTCCTGTTAATTCCCCTCTGAAAGTTCTCCACTGCCTTAAACGGGTATTGAACTCACACTCTGGATCTAACCAACACCTGTGCCATGTGTTCTTAAGGAACTAGAACAGTCTATCCCAGTGAGCGAAATAAAGACGAGAACGTACAACGGCCGAAACGTTGTAATAAATATGGCGACAAAGATGAGGACAATAGTCCGAATAATGTAAATAGTGTACATAATAACTCATTTCAGAAATATAGACAGATACTAAAGCATTTCTCATCTGTTTTTATTTTAGCATTCATTATTTGATCCCAATATATATATATATATATATATATATATATATATATATATATATATAATACATATTATATTATATATTTATACATGAATAGCCGAGATAAAAAAAACCACCGGTGGCCTGACGATTGCGTCTAGAATGAAACAGACTGTCGCCTCTAAGTGTTGATTTCTATGTTCACTTTTATATTTACACACGTTCTCTCTGATATTGAGTACTTTTATCCCATAAATATAGCACACCTTAAGAGTATATTTCTTTATTCATACATACATATATATATATATATGTAATTCACCCCAAGCAATTTCATAATGATAGTAAGAAGCAGGAGAATGAAAACATTTATAAAAACCCAATCCTAAACATATACTAAGGGATAAAACTATATTTCTGTTCAGAAGACAAAGTAGGATGACAGACGAACCATAATATATTTAAACACACACACACTATATATATATATATATATATATATATATATATATATATATATATATATATATATATATATATATATATATAAGTCACCCCAAGCAATTTGATAATGACACTAAGAAGCAGAATTTACTACAAATGAAAGAGAATGAGTACATTTAGAAAAAAAAACAATCCCAAGGAGTTGTGTAAAGCGAACGATAGATGAATCATAAGATAATTTAATATATATATATATATATATATATATATATATATATATATATATATTTTCCTCTTCAGTTCTGCCACAAATATTCCGATGTTCGTATATAAAGTTCGTGGTTTAAACTAAAATCATTATCCTACCTGCCTGAGGGTACATAACAATGAAACCTGGGTAGCGTGGTAGCTTGAATTTTAGTTTCCTAATAACATTTTGCTCTACAACCCAAATTTGGATTGCGCCTTCTTAAACGTGTCTATTTACAGCCTCTTTTACAACATACTATCTTATATTGTATTTCAAATATATATATATATATATATATATATATATATATATATATATGTATGTATGTATATATAATTGCTTGCGCCCAAATAATAGTTAGAATAAACTACAGCAATCAACCCCAAAAGTGAATAAATAGCTCTAATTATCTTCTAAAACTAAGACAAAACTATTAAATAAGCGATATAAACAAATTTTTGCTACGTTACAAAAAAACATTAAAATAAGAATAAATAAATATATAACATAAGAAATGAAGTAAAAAAATTAAAAATAAGAATAAATAAAAACAAGCAAAATAATTTAAAACAAATAAATAAACAAATACACGACTTCCGGCAAGATAACCGCCAAATAGACTACCCACAATGCACCACTGACGCGTATATATAAATAGCCGAGAAAAAAACAACACTCGTGGCCTGACGATTGCGTCTAGCATGAAACAGCCTGTTGCCTGTAAGTGTTGACTTCAATGTTCGCTTTTATATTTATATATATATATATATATATATTTCTATATATATATAGTTAATTGTATGATGCGTAAATCTTTTTGCATCGGTAAGGTATTTCGGCGAGCCGTGTGCAATTCCATCCAACTTCCGTTCACTTTAATATAAATATCTTTCGAAATGGTATGAATCAGTCTCTTTTCTCAAAACTATCTATTAAATAGCAGGATAGACTGGGTTCTCTAGCATAGATAGCAAGCTATGACAAAGAAAACATTGCAACTCATGGGAAACGCAACTGGGAAACCTTTCCAATTTTCTTTCCCCATGCTCTCCAACGCCCCGAAAGGGAAACAACACACAGAAGAAGAAGAATTATGCAAAATGTCTTCACAGAAGAATTTACCATCTTCGAGAGACACTTACCATGACAGAACGATGCCTGAATTGCATGATATGAGAAGAAGTGCTGATTCAACTTCTGTATAAAAGTTATCAAAAAAGAATAAAAGTAAGAATGTTTTGTTTTTTTTAAAAAAAATCGTACATTACCGAAAGTAAGATGAAATTTCTCACTCACCTGAAAAGAAATAGAAAAAGAATATTTTAATGAAAGGCCGGACAATGATATCGAAATATTAAAAAAATTGACATCACACATTATTAATAAATGGAGGGTTATTGATATTATCATTCTTCTGGTCACTTCCGTTTCTTTGTACGTACGTCTTTGCCATTGCCTCAGATAAACAATGGATTCTTCATGTTTGATTGCGAGGATAAACCAGTAATAACTTAACTTTCCTCTGACCATAAAACAGAAGAAGATATATATCAATGTGGCTGTATGGTTCGGAGAAAGGGAAAGAAAGAAAGAAAGAAAGAAAGAAAGAAAGAAAGACAGAATGTGATAAAAAGAAAGAAAAATGCAAGGAAGCCATTTAGAAAGAAAAGAATTTGGAAAGAAAAAATTTAGAAAGTTAGAAAGAAAGAAAGAATGAATGAAAGAAAGAAAGGAGGAGAGAAAGCAAGCAATCAAGAAAGAAAGAAAAAAGAAAGAAACAAAGAAAGAATGTGATAAAAAGAAAATAACAAAGTAAAATGCAAGGAAGACATTTAGAAAGAAAGAAATTTAGAAAGAAAGAAAATAAGAAAGAAGTAAAGAAAGAAAGAAAATAAGAAAGAAGTAAAGAAAGAAAGAAAGAAAGAAAGAAAGAAAGAAAGAAAGAAAGGAGGAATGAAAGCAAGCAAGCAAGAAAGAAATTTAAAAAGAAAGAAAGAAAGAATGAAAAAAGGAAACAAATAAATTATGTGATAAAAAGAAAAAACATAAAAGAAAAATGCAAGAAAGAAAGAAAGGAGGAAAGAAAGAAAGGAGAAAAGAAAGAAAGGAGGAAAGAAAGAAAGGAGAAAAGAAAGAAAGGAGGAAAGAAAGAAAGGAGAAAAGAAAGAAAGGAGAAAAGAATGAAACAAACAAACAAACAAAAGGAAAATACAAAAGAGGATGTAATTCTCACGTATTTAACGTCTACGCGAGTGAAATTAAAAATCTAATCAGTTTTACTCTCTTCATTTGTACCCTCTTACATCTTTAATAATGACCTTTATTCTTCTTATTATTACAATATTTTCTTCAGGTTTTTAAGCCCCAAAATTTTCGAGGCAATTCTGAAAATTCTTATGGCTAAATTACAGTGGTAGACATCGCAAAGATTTTATTCAATCATTCAAGTTAATAATTAATATTCTTAATACTATTCAAATAGAAAGACCATGAAATTGTCACAGGGATGTTTGCATTAATAAATGCTGAATAAACTAAGATTCTCGTTTTTGCGGGCAGAAATAAAAATAGTAACAAATGAAATTATAAACGATTGGGATTAATGAAGAAAATGTTAAATATTATTTAATAACTTACAAAGTTAAATAAGGAGAGATTATTATTATTATTTACAACATAAAAGACGATAAACTCATTTAAATGCATGGCTAGTTACAAAAACAAGGAAATAGATGAAGAAAATTATGCATGAGTATATACAACTATATATATATATATATATATATATATATATATATATAGAGAGAGAGAGAGAGAGGGAGAGAGAGATATGAACAGGCTGACATAGATAGATATATGAGCAAAAAGGTACAGATGCAGATAGATAGATAGATAGATAGATAGATAGATAGATAGATAGATGAAGAGACTGCTACTGATGAACTTAGCTAACTAGCTAGCTAGATAAATAGATAGATAGATATGAACAGACTGCTATTGATGCACTTAGAAATATATATATATATATAGTTGTATGTACAACTATATATATATATATATAGAGAGAGAGAGGAGAGAGAGACAGAGACAGAGACAGATAGATATGAACAGGCTGACATAGATATATGAGCAGAAAGATACAGATGCACATAGATATAGATGGACTGATACATATGCATTCAGACAGACAGACAGACAGACAGACAGATAGATAGATAGATAGATAGATAGATAGATAGATAGATAGATAGGAATAGATTGACACAGATGCATTTAGATAGATATAGATAGACTGATACAGGTGCACTTACAAAGACAGACAGATAGATAGATATGAAAAGACTGCTACTGATGAACTTAGATAGATAGATAGATAGATAGATAGATAGATAGAGAGATAGATAGATAGATAGATAGATAGATATGAACAGACTGCTATTGATGCACTTAGATAGATATAAACAAACTGATACAAATTCACGTACAGAAAGTGATGTTTCGCAGGCCCTTCTGATAAACCTAATCTTTACACAACTGGTCATGTCATATGAAGCACAACAGTGTAAATATAACGTCGATACCATATTTTATTATTTTAACTCACTGTTTTCAAAATAACATTCATATTAGTAACAGAAATTTTAATATTAGCTGTTTAGCATTCATTGACCGAACAACCAGTTCTACATTTAGTTCTAATTTATATAATTATTGAATTGCTTCAATAGTGACATGGAGAGACACTTTATTCCGAATGATTTTTTTTTTTAAATCACGAATTTTCTCGCTACAACTCTCGGCGGATGACAGAGAATTAACATTGATTAAATCAGACAACAAACAATAACTCGTCAGTAAACGCCATGTTTTATTTCTCGTCTACCGTTCTAAGATTTCCCAAACAAATAAATCCGCTCCAAATTTTCAGTTCCTTTCTTTAGTGTCTACTGTGTCATTCTCTAAAGGTATTCAAGAAAATACGGCTATAAAGATGGAAGTATGTGAAACTTTTAAAAATCAAATTGTGAAAAACGAGGCCTAACTTATAGACATTGAAAGTAACAGTTAACATTAAAAATGGAAATTATTCAATACTTCTCGCGTATAAAAATGCAGTCTGTACCAATTAATAACGATAAAATGTAATTAGACTGTTTTGTTCCTAGTTATACCGACTTTTTATTCCCAGCTGCTAGTTGATGCAATGAAAATTTGCGGTCGAGAGATGGTTATTCAGTCGCTAAAATATTTTGAAAGCAAAGATCAAAGGAAAGACGTCAAGTTAAATGAGATTAAAAACTGAAGTTGATAAATGATGAAGTAAAACGAGATACAAACAAGCAAATTGTAATCTCTGATGAAACTTTCAAGAAACAGACACGGATATAAAAAAAGAAGGAAGTAACAGAGGCAAATAATTCGGCCTTAAGAAAAAGAAAGTCAGCGAAGAACTGCGAAAACAATAGACGGTATATTTGTTATTTCCAATGCACTCTTTGAAAAAAATGGCTTTCTTCCAAGATTGACTGAAGTCAATAAATGTTTAGCGAAAAGAAACAAAGTTGAAGGAACATTGATGAAGTAAAATTGTTTAAAAAAAATCGGAAAAAATATATTAAAGATGAATGAATGAAAACAAACGATTGCTTCCAGAAAGACGTAACGTCTTCTAAATAGATGTTTGTGCGTGTATATTTGATCGTAAACATACTGCTCTCATCTAAGCATTGATATTGCTACATACCTACATCGATAATTATCAAATTATAGATTTAATAAGAGCGAGCGTATATATAGAGGGTGATCGAAAAGTAATCCCCATTTTAAAATACTTATAATTAACTACATGTTATATAGCGTAACTTTTTTTTTTTTTAAAGCATTTCACCCCAAGCAAGGCGGAGAGCCACTAGGACGCAAGGGGTTACAGAAAATAGGAAGATCAGATAGGAGTGATAGAAGAAAGGATGAGGGTAGTAGATAGATTAAGGCAACTGGAGATGTCGATTGACATTACACTTGAATAGCTGGAGATTATAACTCTCAGGGAAACAGGAGAAGGGAAGAGAGTTCCACAGGCGAGAGGTGCGAGACATGAAGCTATTAGAGTAGAAGAGACGGCTACATTTAGGAGTTTCGACAGTGAGGGGGTGAGAGCGGGATGCCAGCCTCGTAGGGCGCTTGAACTCATGAAGTTTGGGAACCAGCGAATACAGTTCCTCGGAGCAATTTCCATGAAAGTATTTATAGAACAGACAGAGGGAGGCGACGGTGCGTCTGTGAGAAAGTGACTGTAGACGAGACGCCAGGGCAGGGCCAACCATATTGCATATCCGCTTCTGGAGCCTATCAAGAACCCCGAGGCAAACAGAAGGGCGCCAGACCATATGGCAGCAATACTCCATGCAAGGGCGAATTGTGGATTTGTATATCTGGAGGATCGACTCAGGGAGAAAAACTTCCTAGCGCGGCTCAGGGAGCCAACTTTCCTCGCAGTGGACGAGGCAATTGACTCGATGTATTTATTCCATCTCAGGTCAGCAGTCAACGTGAGACCGAGAAGCCGCAGAGAGTTGCTCTCGAGAAGTTGAGCGTCAGACATTCTAATGGAGGAAGGGAAGGCTCTCTGTGGTGATTAATAGAGAGCAGTTTTGTCTTCGAAGCGTTGAAGTTGACCAGCCAAATCATGCCCCAGTTCACAATCGATTGGAGGTCCTTTTCGAGACGCACGGCAAGGTGAGTTTTGTCAGCGAGACTGGATTTGTTTTTGAGGCAGGAATAAATTGTGGTGTCATCCGCGTAGATGCCGACTTGAGAAGTTACGGCGTCAGGAAGGTCATTTATATAGATAAGGAATAGAGTGGGGCCTAGGATGGAGCCTTGAGACCTATGAACACTAATGAGTATGTCCCTATTCTCATAAATATGTTGAACATTATTGTAAGTGGGAGTAATATGCTGCCTAAGCAGGCAGCGTGGGAAGCTCTTGACGTGTCGAAGTCTCTGCCTTCGAGTAGAGAGGAGCCCGAACGAGGCTATGCCAAAGGGCAGAGTCTCGTCCGGGTAAGAACAGATACCTGATCCAGCGCATGCGGTGTCTACAGGCAATTTTTTGACCGAGCCCACGGGCTCGGATTTCCCCACATTAAATTTGGCCTTGTGGGGGTGCAAGTAAATATCGTAATATGCTGTCTACGTAGTCCACAACTAGCAGTGGTTTCCCTACTTCACGCCGCTGGCGAGTATTGTATTTTGTTGATGTTATAAAGATTATCATTTCATTTCCAACCTCCGTTTTGGTTATTCCTCATTCAGTAATCCTTTCTAGGCTACAACACTATAATTTTTACAAGGAATAGATAGGAAAGCGTTTAGCATCAGGTTTTATATAAAATTCAATACGGTCACTACATATCTCTACCATCTTCTCGAGCCACCAAGGCATCACGTCAAATGATTTCACCAGGAACTCTTGTGATATGGAAGATATAATTTCTTGTATTCGACCTTCAAGCTCTTCCAAAGTCATGGTTTGGTATAGTAGAAAAAGTCACAGGGTTTTAAGTCAGGGCTCCTGGCTAGCGACTGATACATAAAAAAGGGGTATAATTATTTACGAATTTAAATGCCCATTAAAGAATTGTATTCCTGATCAATCAAAATTCGTAAATAATTATACAGGCCACACTACAACATGTTTGACATGCAGACTCACTCTACACCTTTCTGACTATAGCTGAATTAGATCTCATTTAAATATTCATAGAGACCTACTGAACCCTATTCGTAACATACTTGTTGACAACACTAATATAATAGCATCATCTACATG